ATAGGGAGCGGAAGACGGCGCCACTTGAGCAGTGACCGGAATACTTCATCGTTCGCAATGGGGTTGCGAACGGGAATGCAAGACACCAGCATCGACTGCGGAAACACCGCTCCGGGAAACCTATCTAACCGAACCGACGCTTTCTCAACTATCCACTTCAATCCAATGTGGTGAAGTGGTAAGACCTCATCTTGAAAGTAGCCGACCATACCTCCGTTGTTGAGCACATGTATTTCAGGAAGTCGTCCAAGTGCCATGAGTCAGTCTGAAAAAGGATTATGTTACGAGGAGGCTGGTCGGTTCAGGGGTTAGAACATACAGAACGAAGCGAATCTTTCGTCTAGTTACATGTTACAGGTGGTAAAAAAAGATGCGAAACTTATAGAAGGTGGTTGTATGAAGGTGAAGCGGCATGCAATAGCAAAAGATGTTGTGCGAAACCAATGCGGGGGTGAATGGGCATGCAAGGAAGAAGCTTAGTTGTGTGAAGCTCTTATAGGAGGAGATATGGATGACGGACTTGAGTTTAAATGGAGGAGCTTGCAGTGCATCGACTGAGTGGTTAAGAGCAGTTTGACCTCCTTCAGGCATCCTTTTGCGGACTACGGTTAAGGAACCTAAGTTAGGTTCGTGCGATAATAAGTCACAGTGGGCACTGCATCTAAATTTTTATTTGAAAAAATTAAAAGAACCAAATACCATGCATATTTCTGAATTGCACTACTCCGCTGTAGAAGACCAGCTGTGGACGGGTTCGGTAGGCATATGAGAACAGAGTACCCATTTCCGTGGACAAGACATGTTTTTCCGAATATAATAATAACATTGTTACATACACTTGCCCCTTTTCTGGTTTGTTCAGATATTATGACTGTGAGATCCCAGTTAGCCTTTGATTTCAATATCATGTGATATTAAGGGCATTTTGTTCTATTTTGTACGAATTTAGTAGAAAACTCTAGTTTTCTTTTTGTATTGGGATAACTCAAAAAATTAATTAATTATATGTATGTTATGAACCCTTTTATTTTAATTGCTTAGATGTTAGGAAATTACATATAACAAATGAATGGTTAAAATAAATGCATAATTGAATTTCTATAACAGATTGAAAATTTAAACGACACTTGAGTTATGCAAAATTCTATCTACAAATCCACTCCTACTACCCAAGGTTTAGGTCCCAATTTGATGCTCATTCACCTAGCAAAATATGCTAGAAAACTTGTGTGGAGCAAAGATGAAAACTGTTTAAGATTCAAGGACCAAACGATGAATACCGAAATTGCACTTCAGCCCTTTACAAAATTGCACTTACTCTGATTCTGGTCAGCTTGGCCGAGAATACCAAGGCTGGAAAGCCTTGAATCTTTATGATTTTTGCCCAGCCAAAGCATGACAAAGTGGGTAGGAACACTTGTCAATTTTCCAAGCCATTGAGTTGGCAAAACTCCAATCCTTGTCATGCTAGCTTAGGTTGCTATAAATACCAGACATCCAGGCTTAGTAAACATTTGGGCAATCTTCTTATTTTCACCGAAACTAGCAAGAAACTATCAGCTCACTTACTACAAAAATTGCACACAAATCTGGCCAAAACCAATTCTGTTGAGGGCCGATTAAGCTGGATTTTGCTGCACATCTGGTGGAATTTCTTCTTGCACTTTACTACCCTTTTATTAAAAGGTACCATGAGCTATACATCTATTTCATTTATAATTCATTTAAGCATCTTATATATTTAGTAAATCAAGTATTCCTGCTGAAAAAAAAAATCCTATTATAAACATGCATATGGGCAGTTCGTGATTTTTCAGCTTTGTAGTTCAATTTCTATGCCAATTTTATGATGATTCTTGCCTTAGTTTGCTATGCATGCTGGATACTAGGTGTATTTGTTTGATTGATAAGCTCTTGAGCAACCAAGACTAATTTGGGAATAAAAAAAAAATGGAACCTGTTTTGCTGGACCATTTGAGCAGCCTGTTTGCAACGAATTTTGACCAAATTCTAATCAGAATTTGAACCTAAGCCCTTCGGAGAAATTGTAGTTTCTTAAGTGCATGTTGTGTCTACAAAATTTCAGGTCAAACGGAGGTGTGTAGGCTGAGTTATAGCCGAAACCCTCACTTAGCTTTCAAATTCTGGTTTGACCATGTTTTGTAGATTAACTTCTGACCATGCTCATTTCGCATGGATAATGATGAAACTGGGTGGTGGTGTCTTCATAAGAACTGTAGAGCTCTATTTTAGATTCAAAACGGTATAAAGTGCCTCCAAATCCGAGCTTCGTAGATGCAGTTATAGCCAAAACAAAATCGTGTGCCAGAACTGCCTGGAACACTGGGCAGTTCTGACAGGTACTTTGACACCCACTTTTCATTTGATTCTGAGTTGATCCAAGTCTTGGCCAAAACATAAAAGTTTTAGCCTTATGTCTTATCTTTCCAATGCCTTTGGAATTTCTTGATTTGGGCCCGTGAGTTGTGAGTTATGGTTCTTCAAATAGACCCTGTCTGTCATCTAAACGTGCGAACTCCTGGCACGTTGTTTCATACTTATGACCTAATTGCGTTCAGAACTGGATTGAGGTGTCTTCATAAAAATTATAGCTTTTCTCCTTAGCTTCGCGACGGTATCTCACACGCCTCGATCCGACAATCACAACCTACATTGTGTTAAAAATAGTTCTTGACGCCAAAACGGACAAGTTGCCGTTTCCGTTTCCGTTTCCATTTTCCATTTTTCGCGCGCGCATGGGTCGCATTTGCTGTTTTCCTTATTCGTATGCATTTGAATACCTGTTTGAGCAATATCATGACTCAACCTTCTGTCACAGACGGTAACGAAATGCTCGGAGATGGTGGGACCCACTAACGGTTGAGTTTGACCAAGTGCCGTTTTTGTCTACTTTTGTACTCTAAGTAAGTAACTGGGACGTTTATGTATTAAATGTCACCAATGTGAATTGTGTGTGATATAAGGGTGCTTAGGCGAGTGTGTACTTTATCTCACTCGACTTAAACCCTAATTTGTATTGCAATATATATGAATTATGATATATGAACTGTGTTGGGACTGAATCCCTGAAGCATGTGGCTTGGGATGACCTTTTGTGTGTGTGTGATATGGAACTATGAGGGGGCCCGATCTAAAGGTTAGACGGACTATTCGAGACAGTTTGGGTTTGGTCGAAGTTAGTCCAAGCTAACCTTAAGATCACCAATTTTGTGAATACAATTCGAATACGATTCGAAACTCGAGCCATTTGTGTGTATGTGGATACTGGCCAGAGTGGGTGTAAGGTGGTCGAAGGAAGAAAGTGGAGTTCTATGGACCATTCCTTGTGGTCGACGGAGGGTCGACAGGTGATCACGTGTGGCGAATGACTTGGCTTTGGAGCCAATCCGTATCCTTGAATTGTTTTGTTACTTTCGCTTTGATTTTGATGTATTTGTGGTATAAATATCTGACTTGATGTAAAATTATCATTTTGCCCCTACTTGCTTACTAAGCTTTAAGCTTACCCGTTTTTCTTTGTTATTTCCTTAACAGGGGTCGTACGCGGGGAATCACACTTCACGAGAGTTATAACTCTAGAATTTATCTTTGAAATTATTCTAGTTGGACTTTCTAGGATGTTTTTCTTTATTCTCACAGTTAGGGTTAGGACTCTGCGTAAGATCCACTTTATGGTTTTAGTCTTCGCTTTTGTGTGATGTAGTGGATTGGAATGTCCCTTTTGAAGATGTACATATTGTAAATAGAACTTTTTGGAGATGTATAAATTTGAATAGTATCTTTTGGTATTGTGATTCTTTTATTGGACAAATTTATGTTTTACACTGATTGAAGATGTACTTAAGAATGAATGTTCAGTTGTCCAATAGTAATGTTATCTCTGAAATTAATGTGAGTGTGTGAGTTCTGGCGCGAGCTAGGCAGACGGCCCGCCAAACCCTTTGGTACGCCTCTGGGTGCGGTGGGGTCGTCACAGGTGGTATCAGAGCGCCTAGATTAGAGGATTTGGGTAATCGAGATACACACGATAGACATTAGGCATCTTTGATTCTTTAAGATGAATAAAATATTTTAAGTTGAAAAGCTGGTGTACTGACGAATTAATATTTTACAGATATGGAACCGGGCAGTTCGAGTGGTACGGGACCCAGCGGCGTGAGACCTGGACCGGTATCTCAACCTCTGAGCGTGGGGGGCCCGGTGAACCAGGTCACACGTAGACGGGTGATTCGTTACCAGAGGAGACCGGGGGAGCCCTACGCTCTATATTCACCCTTTGGTCGGATGCCGCATTGACACTGTGAGTGTCGTCTCACCTATGGTTATCCAGATGAGGTTATTCTGGCGGTGGACGACGAGAGGCGCCGCCTGGGGAATGCAATCGATCGCCTGACCAGGCAACTTGAGAGGGCCAGGGGAGTGAACCACGGCCAGGTTATACACCTTAGGGAGATGGAATAGAGCCTTAGGGATGAGGAGGAGAGGACGGATTTCTTCCGTCGTCAGTTGCACGACACGCACCTGCACCTCTTCGCCATGAAGAAGCAGTTACGGGAGCGGGTCCGGGGCGTGATAACCGACTGTGAGATTGTGCTAGATGTGGTCGCGGAGGCGCCACCCGGAGCCACCGGCTCGGAGCCAATGGAGGATGCCGATACTTTGGGCTCGGTTGGGGATTGGGCCCCTAGGGGAGACACTTTAGGGCCGCCTATGTGACTCTTGTTCTACCTATCCATCTTTTGTAGCTGGATTTGATCTGCTAGTTTTTGGGAGCCGAGGTGCTCTTGTATATAATGAGTTTTGCCCCGACCGGATGTCGGGTAATTTGTATAGTTTTGGCATGCATTTGCATATGTGTGTACATATTGTTTTGGCTGGTATATATAAGCGTTTCCTTTCCGTTTTACGAAATATTTTGTGTTTCATGTTTTTTGTAATTCACTTCTATTTTTTTTTCTGTTAGCATTTTGAACTTAAAAATGGACTCCGGTAGTCGAGGTCGAGACCTCGAGGGAGAAAACGAACCTGAAAATAACCAGGTAGCTACAGCCATCCAGCGAATGGCTGATTTACTTGAGCAAATGATCGTCCAACAGGGCCAGAGTCAGGGAAATAACTCCGAAAATCCTGGGAGTAGTAGGGGGAACAATGAGGGGAAGGATCGTGCTTTAGAGCGATTTCAAAAATTTGCCCCCCCTAAATTCATAGGAGGACCCAATCCTGATGTGGCGGAGGGCTGGCTGGAGCGTATGCCGGATATTTTTGCCGCCTTGGGATATATGGAGGAGCGGCAAGTATCGTTCGCTACCTTTCAATTCGAAGGGCCCGCTCGGGCGTGGTGGAATGTGGTAAAAGTCAAATGGGAACGAGAGCGGACCTCCTGGACCTGGAATAACTTTACCAGGGAATTTAATGAGAAATATCTTCCGCCGATGGTACAAGAGAGACGGGAGGACGATTTCATTCGTCTGCGCCAAGGGGCATTAAGTGTTGCGGAATACGAGACCCAATTTACTAAATTGTCTCGTTTTACTCCGGATTTGGTGTCAACGGAGCAAAAGCGGATCCGTCGCTTTGTTCAAGGGTTGAACATTGAGATCCAAGAGGCGTTGGCGGCCGCTCAGTTAGATACTTTTAATCAGGTGTTAGAAAAAGCGCAGAGGATTGAGACAGTCCGGGGTCAAGTAAAGGCATTTCATGATAGAAAAAGAAGGCAGTCGGGCACCAGAAACTTTAATGCTGGACAAAGCTCGAGAAATGAGCCGCCCACTAAAATGGGTAGGGGAGCAGGAGGTCTACGACCGGCGGAGACTTCAAACCAAGGAAATGCCGGAAGGGGACAAGCGGGGCGAGGGCCCCAGAGGGGTGGCCAAAGAGGAAGGGCGAGTACAGGAATGAGACAGACCTGTAGTTTTTGCGGAGGCAATCATACCGCCGATAATTGCTGGAAAAATAGTGCTGTCAGGAGATGCTTTAAGTGTGGCAGTACGGAGCACCTGATTGCACAATGCTCGAATATGCAGACCGAAGGAAGCACTTCTCGGGCAGAAGGGACTACGCCAAAACTAGCAAATGTAGCAGGGAACCGACCGAAAGTGCCTGCGTGAGTTTATGCCATGGACCATCAGGAGGTGACTGACCCTTCGGCAGTCATCGAAAGTACGCTTTCTATATTTCGGCGTACCGCAAGTGTGTTAATAGATTCTGGTGCTACCCATTCCTTTGTGAGTCCTGCATTCATGGCACCTATAGATATTAAAGCAGAAAAGTTGCCATACCATTTAGAAATAAAAACTCCCATTACCAACAAAAGCATCCTTGCCAATATGATGTACAAAGGCTGTGACGTGTGGATAGGGGAACGAAAGTTATCGGTGGATTTAATAGAATTAACACTTAAGGAGTACGATATTATATTAGGTATGGATTGGCTAGCTAAGTATCATGCACGCTTAGACTGTAGTTCGAAAAAGGTTGATTTTCACATACTGGGTGAGCCTACATTGCTATTAGATGTACGAGGGAAGTTAGCCTCCACCACTCTTATTTCTGGGATTCGGACCCGGAAATTGCTAAGCAAGGGTGCCCGAGGGTTTTTGGCCACGTTGATTAATACTCCAGGAGAGCAGTTAAAATTAGAAAAGGTACCGGTGGTGTGTGAGTTTCCTGAGATATTTCCCGAAGAGTTGACCTCACTACCGCCGGAAAGAGAAATCGAACTTAAGGTTGATCTGCACCCAGGGGCGGAACCAATATCAAAAATCCCTTACCGCATGGCTCCTGCGGAACTGAAAGAATTAAAAATACAGTTACAGGAATTATTGAATCAAGGATTTATTCAGGAAAGTGAATTTCCTTGGGGAGCCCCGGTACTATTCGTAAAGAAAAAGGATGGAGGTCTACGGATGTGCATTGATTACCGGGGACTAAATAATCTCACGATTAAGAACAAATATCCCCCGCCACTGATTGATGAATTATTTGACCAACTGCAGGGTGCAGTTGTATTTTCTAAACTGGACCTTCGATAGGGATATTACCAATTAAGGATCCGGAAAGAGGATATCCCTAAGACCGCGTTTAATTCGCGGTACGGGCATTTTGAATTCACAGTCATGCCTTTTGGATTGACGAATGCTCCAGTTGCATTTATGGACTTAATGCACCGAGTCTTCAAACCTTACCTAGACCAATTTATTGTGGTGTTTATTGATGATATTCTGGTCTACTCGAAGACTCGTGAGGATCATGAACGGCATTTGAGGTTAGTGCTACAGACTCTTAAGGAGCACCAACTATATGCTAAATTTAGTAAGTGCGAGTTCTGACTGGACAAGGTGTCTTTTCTTGGACACGTGATTTCAAAGGATGGAATAGCGGTGGACCCCGCTAAAGTGAAAGCCGTCACAGAATGGAACCGACCTAAGAACCCAACTGAAGTTAAAAGTTTCTTAGAACTTGCCGGATACTATCGCCGCTTCATAAAAGATTTTTCTAAGATAGCTGGATCTCTGACGGATTTGACTAAGATTCACAACCAATTCATCTGGACGTCCAAGTGCGAGACCAGTTTTCAAGAGTTAAAGGGGCGATTAACATCTGCACCAATTCTTACTTTGCCCAACGGGAAAGACAGCTTTGTAGTATATACGGATGCGTCTCGGATGGGCTTGGGTTGTGTACTTATGCAAAATGGACAAGTGATAGCCTATGCATCTCGAAATTTGAAAACCCATGAGCAAAATTACCCGACTCACGACTTGGAATTGGCGGCAGTGGTATTTGCTCTTCAGAAGTGGCGACATTATTTATATGGGGTAACCTTTGAGATTTTCACCGACCATAAGAGTCTCAAGTATTTATTTTCGCAGAAAGAGCTGAATTTGAGGCAGCGTAGGTGGATGGAGTTCTTAGAGGATTATGACTGCACCATTAAGTACCATCCAAATAAGGCTAATGTAGTAGCTGATGCCCTTAGCCGAAAGGCTCAAGTATCTAGTCTACAGGTGAAAGAGTGGGAGCTACTAGAAAAAGTTAGGGAATGGAATCCTCAACTTAAGCCACACAAAGTGTTGTTTAGTAATATTCAGGTGATTTTCACGCTATTGCCTAGGATAAAGGAGACTCAGAAGAAGGACTCCCAGGTGCCGAAGTGGAAAGACAAAGTTGAGAAAGGGATGATACCCGACTTTAATGTGGGTTTGGATGGACTGTTAAGGTATAGAAATCGATTGGTTATACCCCAGGATACGGATATCAAGAAAGAGCTATTGGAAGAAGCTCACCGCTCGCGATACACAGTACATTCTGGTACGACGAAGATATATCAAGATTTGAAGAGTTTGTACTGGTGGGAGATCATGAAAAAGGAGATTGCTTAGTTTGTGCAAACATGTCTAACCTGTAAGCAAATAAAAGCTGAGCACCAAAAATCGTCAGGTTTACTCCAACCGTTAGAAGTGCCAGAGTGGAAATGTGGGCACATTACTATGGATTTCGTATCCGGTTTACCGCGAGCACAAAAGGGGCATGATGCCATTTGGGTAATTGTAGACCGCTTGACCAAATCAGCTCATTTCTTACCCGTGAGCCTGAAGTATACCCTAGAGAAACTAGTTCAACTGTATATGGATGAAATTATACGACTACATGGCGTGCCAGTGAGCATAGTTTCGGATCGAGACCCACGGTTCATGCCACGGATCTGGCAAAGGATGCAAGAGGCTTTAGGCTCTAAACTTAATCTCAGTACAACTTACCATCCTCAAACAGATGGACAATCGGAGCGAACGATACAAACTCTTGAGGATATGCTCCGAGCGTGTGTAATGGACTTTGGGAGAAATTAGAGCCAACACCTCACATTGATAGAATTCGCATACAATAATAGTTATCACTCCTCCATACAAATGGCACCGTATGAAGCACTATATGGACGTAAGTGTCGCTCACCGATCTTTTGGGATGAAGTCGGCGAAAGAAAGATCTTGGATTCGACTACGGTGCCATGGGTAGAAGAAGCAGTAGAGAAAGTTAAAATTATTCGCCAGAGAATGCAGACGGCTCAGAGTCGGCAGAAGAATTACGCCGATCACCGAAGAAAGGATCTAAAGTTCGAGGAGGGGGACATGGTATTTCTCAAGGTAACACCACTCCGAGGAACGATTGCGGCCAAGAAAGGGAAGAAGTTGAAGCCTTGATATATAGGACCGTATAGGATTCAAAACCGAGTCGGGACAGTGGCGTATCAGTTAGAGTTACCTAGTAAAATGTCTCGAATCCAAAATGTCTTCCACGTCTCGTTGTTGAAGAAATATCATCCAGATCCCGCACACATCCTACACACAGAGGACGTCGAGTTAGACGAAACCTTCACCTATGGAGAGCAGCCATTACAAATTTGGGATCGAAAGGTGAAAGAACTAAGAAATAAACAGATATTTTTGGTAAAGATTTTATGGAGAAATTATGATGTGGAGGAAGCCACCTGGGAAGTAGAGGAATACATGCAGAAGGAATATCCTTCTTTGTTCACAAACAAAAGTATTAATTTCGAGAACGAAATTGCTCTAAGAAGAGGAGGTTGTGAGATCCCGGTTAGCCTCTGATTTCAATATCATGTGATATTAAGGGCATTTTGTTCTATTTTGTACGAATTTAGTAGAAAACTCTAGTTTTCTTTTTGTATTGGGGCATGATGCCATTTGGGTAATTGTAAACCGCTTGACCAAATCAGCTCATTTCTTACCCGTGAGCCTGAAGTATACCCTAGAGAAACTAGCTCAACTGTATATGGATGAAATTATACGACTACATGGCGTGCCAGTGAGCATAGTTTCGGATCGAGACCCACGGTTCGTGTCACGGTTCTGGCAAAGGATGCAAGAGGCTTTAGGCTCTAAACTTAATCTCAGTACAACTTACCATCCTCAAATAGATGGACAATCGGAGCGAACGATACAAACTCTTGAGGATATGCTCCGAGCGTGTGTAATGGACTTTGGGGGAAATTGGAGCCAACACCTCACATTGATAGAATTCGCATACAATAATAGTTATCACTCCTCCATACAAATGGCACCGTATGAAGCACTAAATGGACGTAAGTGTCGCTCACCGATCTTTTGGGATGAAGTCGGCGAAAGAAAGATCTTGGATTCGACTACGGTGTCATGGGTAGAAGAAGCAGTAGAGAAAGTTAAAATTATTCGCCAGAGAATGCAGACGGCTCAGAGTCGGCAGAAGAATTACGCCGATCACCGAAGAAAGGATCTAAAGTTCGAGGAGGGGGACATGGTATTTCTCAAGGTAACACCACTCCGAGGAACGATTGCGGCCAAGAAAGGGAAGAAGTTGAAGCCTCGATATATAGGACCGTATAGGATTCAAAGCCGAGTCGGGACAGTGGCGTATCAGTTAGAGTTACCTAATAAAATGTCCCGAATCCATAATGTCTTGCACGTCTCGTTGTTGAACAAGTATCATCCAGATCCCGCACACATCCTACACACAGAGGACGTCGAGTTAGACGAAACCCTCACCAATGGAGAGCAGCCGGTACAAATTTTGGATCGAAAGGTGAAAGAACTAAGAAATAAACAGATATCTTTGGTAAAGATTTTATGGAGAAATCATGATGTGGAAGAAGCCACCTGAGAAGTGGAGGAAGACATGCAGAAGGAATATCCTTCTTTGTTCACAAACAAAGGTATTAATTTCGAGAACGAAATTACCCTAAGAAGGGGAGGTTGTGAGATCCCGGTTAGCCTCTGATTTCAATATCATGTGATATTAAGGGCATTTTGTTCTATTTTGTACGAATTTAATAGAAAACTCTAGTTTTCTTTTTGTATTGTGATAACTCAAAAAATTAATTAATTATATGTATGTTATGAACCCTTTTATTTTAATTGCTTAGATGTTAGGAAATTACATATAACAAATGAATGGTTAAAATAAATGCATAATTGAATTTCTATAACAGATTGAAAATTTAAACGCCATTTGAGTTATGCAAAATTTTAGCTACAAATCCACTCCTACTATCCAAGGTTTAGGTCCCAATTTGATGCTCATTCACCTAGCAAAATATGATAGAAAACTTGTG